ATATATATATATATATATATATAGATATATAGATATATAGACATACACAGATATATGAAAAATATTATATTTTATTATTGAATTTCTTTTTGTAAGTCTAATTAATAAATCGATAATTTTAGGTTAAAAGAAGAATATTTCTATTATATTAATAAAAATAGAAAAAGCTATATAATCAGCTCATGGCTTAAAAAAAGTTGTAATGTTGATACTAAGGGGATGTAGAGGTATACATAGCTTAATACACCAATATAACTGTATATTTGTGTGACAATCAGTTTTTTTGTCAGTTAAATATACCGCATTCAAATTTCTAAGGTACTATGGAGGCAAAAAAAAACATTCCTGAAAAATGTATATATCTTGCCTGTTAACAAGAAAATGCTTGGTTTTATTTTTTTGTCCTTAAAAGACACTTATCTTCATTTTTTTTTTGGTTTTATTTACGCATCACTAAACTTTTTATGTATTTACATATTTAACATAGAAATTCTTATAATTACTTATATCTCTATATTTAAATGACAAGTTTTGCACTAAAAGCATATTAAGCTTGAATTTTAAATAATAGAGAGGTAAATAAAAAGAATTTCAATGAATTGTATGTAAATCCCCCCCCCTAGAATTGAAAAAAATATTACCTCAAGAGTACTGATATATCAGTACTCCAATGGGAATGTGTCACGTATGCAATGGTCCTACCATAATGTCACGTGGCACCTCCTCATTGGAGTGCTGATGCATCAGTACTTCTGAGGTAATATTTTTTCCATAGAATTCGCATTTATCAAATCCATTCCAAATTTAACTAGGTGGAGCCTCTACTGGGAAGCCCCACAGGACCCCTGCGACTACACGGAAGTCTGCGGTTCATACAGCATATGCAACGCCAACAACATCCCGCTCTGTAGCTGCTTAACTGGTTTCAAGCCGTCGGATCCGGCCGGCTGGGCTTTGAGAGACGGAGCCAAAGGCTGCAAGAGAATGACGAAGTTGGATTGCACCAACGGCACTGATGGGTTCTTTGTGGTTAATGGAGCCAAGCTGCCGGACACGGCGGAGGCGACAGTCAACAGGGAATGGTGTTTAATGAATTGCTCGTGCACGGCGTACGCAAGCACCAACGTCAACGTCAGCGCCGGCGGCGGCGGGAGCGGGTGCCTTATATGGTCGGGAGAGGTAAGGGATCTCAGAGTGTTTCCAGATGCAGGGCAGAATTTGTTTGTGAGGTTGGCAGCCGCCGATATACGTAAGTTTTTTTCTATTTTTTTTTATTTTGATGAAATTATGATTAAAATGAATTTATCTGTCAATATCATTTTGAGATAAATGAAATATAATAACTAACATAAATCACTCATTTCAATATAAATACGATAGGGACTATCATTTTTAGACCCGGTTTGTGCTGATTTAAAAAACAAGATTTAAAAAATTCTAATTCACATTTGATCAGAATGAAGTTTATAATCATTAAACCGGCTTTGACAGTAATTTAATCCATAATTAATTAATTATAATTTATATCATATTAGGCTCAAAATAAATCCCAAAATTAATATATTATAACACTAAAAAAATCTGAAAGATTTACAAACATAAGTTTAATATTACAAATTTGACGCCAAATCTCTCCCCTTCATATTTATAGCATCCAAAAATTTAAAAAAGCTTAGCGTCGCTTGCCTGGTTGCCTTGCGGCCTGATTGTTCTATCAGACATAGCATTCTAATATTTTCATGATTAACATCTTCTGGCTACAGCTCTAACAGAGGAACGTTCTCCAATTAGTTCCCAGACAATACTTGAGATAACTATCTGTTCTGTTTCCGTGGCTGCGTTGAGTATTGCAGTGGTTTTTTGCATCTGGAAATATCGGAGCAAAAGAAGGCAAAAGACATGTAGATATTTTATTTGTTTATTTATTTAAAATTTTCTTGTATTTTGATGTTTTTATGTAGTCTTGTATTTTCATTTCTCTACAGCTTATCTAGATGATCGTGTCTGCAAGAAAGTTGCAGCTGGAGAAACAGAAATAGCCGAGCTTCCTCTGTTCGATATTGACTTCATCAAAGCTGGAACCAACCATTTCAGCAACGACAACAAGCTTGGAGAGGGCGGGTTCGGTCCTGTTTATAAGGTAATTACCAATGTTTTTAATTGTATTTATCAGTAAAATGAAGGTAGGAGAAAGACTTGCTTATAGAGTAGTATTTTGATTAATTGATGAGAATGTTATTTCTTTAGGGTATACTTTATGAAGGGCATGAAATAGCAGTAAAAAGGCTTGCAAAGACTTCAACACAAGGGATTAACGAGTTCAAAAATGAGGTGAATTTGATTGCCAAGCTTCAACACAGGAATCTGGTTCGCCTTCTGGGTTGCTGCATTGAAGGGGAGGAAAGACTGATAATATACGAATACATGCGGAATAAAAGCTTGGATGCATTTTTATTCGGTTAGTATTTCAGCTCTCTTTTGTGAATATGCATTTGATTTTTATTATTTTTCTAGAGAAAATTGATCAACCATATCTGATATGAGTAATGATCCAATTAAGACACTGAACAGACTAATTTGAAGCACCTAAGATTGCTTGAATCAACCTAAAGAATACTGATAAGCTCAACGTATGCGCATCGATCCATATCAAGCTTTGTAGGTTAAGTCACCAAGTCTAAATACTATACCAACCTTCAGACTCAACTATATCCACAAATAAATGCCGATTTAGGGTTATTTTGGACTTAATTAAAGATGTCTATATTTCCCCTCATATTTATCCATTAGATTAGGTTTTAAGTAGTCGTGGGTTAGGTAAAAGGATGTTTTGGGCTTTGATAAAAGTACTTGAATTTGAATTGCATTAAAATTATGCCCCTTCAAATTTTCTCCTCCCTTTCCAATTCTCCTTATTCGCTGTCTTAATTCCCAAAACCCAAAATGGGATAGCTTTTAACCCTCTTAGTAATTTGAACCTAATTACTCTTCTTTCATGTAAATCATCATTTCACCTTTCTTTTATGTTGGTGCATCAAATTGTAAAATTCTTAAAAAGAATTTTATTATCCTCCCCAATTTTACTCAAATTTGATTGTAACTGTTCTATTGGGTTTTTAAAATACAAAAATTGAGTACAAAATATTTAAAAAATTCATAATGACCTAAAAAGGCCAATAAAGTTTCATTTAGGATCAAAATTAGCCCTAGGGACAAATTGACAGCCGAGCCGATGGTCAACATTTATTGGATTCATCGAGCATTTTTGCTCCTCTTTTCTTTAAATTCATGGGTGCATCAGGTCATGTGATTTATACGTCACGCCTGATGGCACATCGTTTAGGATTTTCTATGATTTTATTAGGATGGAGTTAGATATTTAATTGAAAACCCTCTTTGAGTGTAAGGATCAAGTTTATATACTAGAAAAGTAAATAATGACTTTGAAGATTCAATAAATAAAGCATAGACAAGGCTAATTGTTCTACAAACCTCCCTCAATGTAAAAGGCTAATTATAACAAATTATAAGTTAAAAGAAGAACTATAGTTATGTCTTTGAAGACTGCAAAAACATTGAAGGAAAAAAAAAATCATCCTCTTAAATATGGAAGCTAGGAAAAATTTTGATAGTTCAAAAAGTTTCAAAAAATTCTGGGCGCATCATTATTAATTAAAGTGGAGGGCCTAGAGTACTAATGTGTTAAAGGAGTTTTTATTTCATGATTTCTTGAAGAAGACCAAATTGGTGTCTTACCAGATTATAGTTTTTTTTTCCCACACACAAGCAAACATACTCACAACTCATATGCAAAACCTGAACCTAATAACACTTGGTTGAAAGACAGCTATCAACTACTAAGCTAAGTTGACTTGCATGTTTATAAGACTCGAGTTAATGTTAAAAGAGTATTCTCAGAACTAAGTCTTTAAAAACTTTTTCTCAGACATTCAAGATGATATAAAGAGAAAGCTAAACAGTTATGTATTTTCCTTATATGAATAAGAATCTTATTCAAACCAAAGAGCATCTACTTCTTTTTCTTATCGTTTATAAGTATGATTGATATTCTAAGATGATAATACAAGCGTTACTGATATCATAATTTCAATAATGTTCCTTAGCCATGCTAAAAAGAATCATGGAAAAACTTTAGAAATTATCTTTTCTAGTTATCGGTAACGAATTTCACTTCAAATATTAACCTCTTTTTTTAATAAAATATTGGTCTGAGGTTATGAAACGAGCCCCCAACCAATCTCATGTGCCTAACCACTCAGTTTATCTGCCTATAGGTGGGTTCGAACCCTCAACCTCAGGAGACTTATAACTGACTTTTTAAATACCAACCACAGAGTCATGGCACGGGACACACTTCAAATATTAACTTATGGAAAAAGATATTGAAAGAAATTCATTACTTTTTTTACCTATTTAGGATTACTTATCAAAGCATTACTTGATGCTCACAAATAAAAAAATAAGATCAAGTAAAATTCACTAAGAATTTTTTTTGATATCCAAGATTATTTATTAAAATGTTACTCGATAATATTACTCTGTGTGGAAGTGTTCAAGAGAAATCCACAAAAAAATTATTTTTTTTTCTTTTGTATATAAGTATGATTGACATTCTAAGACGACAATAGAGGCTTTATTGATATCATAATTTCAATCAAATTTCTTTTCCATGCTAAAGAGAATCATGAAAAAAATTTTAGAAATTTTTATTTTTAGTTGTTAGTATAAAATTTCACTTCAAATCTTAACCAATGGAAAAATCTATTGACAGAACTCCATTAATTTTTTTTTTACTTATATAAGATTATTTATCAGAGCATTACTTGATGTTAACAAATAAAAAATGTCAAAAAAAGTTAACTAAGAATTTTTTTTGACATATCCAAGATTATTTATTAGAAAGTTACTCAGATGATATTAACAAGTGTGGAAGAGTTCAAGAAAAATCCACTAAAAAGAAAAACTTATCTGTCCAAGATTATTTGTTTGTGTTTCTCGACAATGGAAGCCTATGTGGAAGAGATTAAGAGAAATAAACTAATGAAGTTTGACATATTTGGACTTCTTTGTAAGAATATTATTCGGTACTATTAATCTGTGTGGAAAATGTTAATAAAATCCATCAAAATCTTTTGACCTTGGAAAAAAGACGAAAAATCTACAAAGGATGTTATTCAATATCATTTGTCCGAATGTTAAATGATGTTAACTTCCAATTCATCCAAAACTAATTGTACTTATTTGGGATGGGGTGAATATCATATGTATTCTAAATCAAATTTAAAAATTGGACTATATTTATGCCTTTATTGCCCTATCATGGCTATGATTTTGACCTTGCCTACATAGTATTGGTCTAGTTTGATGATTTGTATATAATTTAGAGCTCACTCAAAAATTAATTATAAAATTTCTCAATTGCAAAAAATATATAGTCGTCACAAGATATATAAAATTATTGAATAAAAAGACTACTCTACCATAATTTGTTTGACAAGTTAATATGAACATCACTTCAAGGCTGCAACTAGGGTTTTCTCTTAATCCTAAATAGTTTCTAATAGAATTGATGCAAAAATGACGGATAAAATGGAAACATTTTCTAACTAAAACCGTACATAGGACTTTATCCTCTTGATGTCATAGTTAACATTGCCCTTTTAGTTTTAACCTATTTCCCATGAAATTAATGAAATAATGTACGACAAAAGGAAGAGTTTTTTGACAACCTACTTATGATAATATCCTTTCAAGATTGTAGCCAAAGTTGCCCCTTAATCTTGACTAGCTATTTTTGGAAATGTTATGTGGATGGATGGCTAAGAGATTGCCCTTCTAAAACTATGCCTAGAACATTGATGCGAACAATTTTTCAAGGTTATATAATAAAGATTTTTCTCCAATATAGAGTTGTTCCACACAAACAACAACAAATTGTTGCATGCTAGAATATTTAAGACAATCGACTGAGAAATTAACATCTAAGCTTTAAATAAAAGTTCAACTCACATGCAAATAAAAAAAAGAATTGCAAATGTCAAAATTTTTTACATGGAAAATTCATAAAGAAAAAAATTATTAGGTTTTCGCTCATAAAAATGATTCTACTAATATGTATTGTAAGTCACAAATAAAGTCATTCCTCATAATTGAGGTATTAATGCAATAAAATAAACAGACTATAGATAATAAATTTCATGATAGACGTTAAAAGATGAGCTTGAGTTGTCTTTAAACGATCGTTTGTGATTTCGTCGGTCATGCTTTGAAAAAATCAAATATCAAAAAGTTTAATATAAATAAAAGACTATAGTTGGTGATTATAATTAAAGAACTATTGTAGAGTAACAATAGAGATCGTAAATGAGTGACTAGGATTGGGCGACAATAATTAGGTAATATTGATCACAAGATAGTTGTCGAGCAATGGTAAACAGACAAAAATTGTAGACTATAATTGCTACTTATTGCACTCCTTGCATGTTGTAATATTAATCAAATGGCAATCCCATCTCCGCCACTTTGGGCCATGCTTAATCTCTTTAGAGGCAAGTTTTTTTTCGAACTTCTATTAGTTAGGCTCATAAACTAAACTTTTGATAACAAACCAACTTCAAAATCATCTGCCTAGATTTAAATGCAAATGAATATTTATTTTGGATTTAATTTTCAATGATTAATATTTTATTTGATATGTATCCATTTAGTCGGTTTTTCTTAGCAGATAATTATATAATTTTCTTTTTTGTTTAACTTTTTTTTAGTATGGCTCTTTTTTCTCTACATATTAATGTTATATATCAAGTAAAAGAATACGTGAATCTAAGTGACATTGGAATGATTCCCCTTTCCTCCCCCTTTCATATTTTTCTATTCTCTACACAATTCCTAAAACTGTAATCACAAATCTCTTTCGACCCCCTCTCAATAATTTTAGCTCATTCAATAATTTCGGCTCATCTAACAAAATTTTAATAAAAGTTAAGTTATTTAATGTTCTGCATTTTCAAGGTTCCATATTTTACAGTTTATGATTGGCATCTAGACCATTCTTCATATCTCATATTATTTGATGCTTATTAGTTTCTTTCTTCATCACTGCCTTCCATCAACTAATTCAATCTCTCTAGTTCAGATAAAGAGAGAAGTGTTCTTCTGGATTGGGAAACCCGTTATCACATAATCTTAGGCATTGCTCGTGGCTTGCTCTATCTCCATGAAGATTCAAGACTTAAAATTATACATCGGGATCTTAAAGCTAGCAACATTCTTCTTGACAACGAAATGAATCCAAAAATTTCAGATTTTGGGATGGCAAGAATTTTTGGCAGGCATGAAACAGTAGTGAACACTGCAAAAATAGTTGGTACATAGTAAGTTCATTCTGTCATCATGAAATTAATAAAATTAAATATGCAAATAAATCTACAAAAAAATTGATTAATCTTTCAACCCAGTGGATACATGTCTCCTGAGTATGCAATGGATGGCATCTTCTCTGTTAAATCAGATGTGTTCAGCTTTGGAGTTTTGGTATTAGAAATCATTGCCGGAAGGAAAAACAGGGGGAGATATACCATCGAACAACATTCAAACCTTGTCGGTGAGGTATGAAAAATTATAGAAAAGAATTGAAATATGCATTGCCTTCCTATATTTCACTTTATTTTTCAACCAGTTACAGTAACCTCTGAAATTTTCAGGCATGGAGCTTATGGAATGAAGAAAAGGAAGTGGAACTTCTTGATGATTCCATCAGGAATTCAATCTCTTTGATAGAAGTTTCCAAGTGCATAAAATTGGCTCTCCTTTGTGTTCAAGAACAAGCGGAAGATCGACCATCAATGTCCTATGTTGTTCTCATGTTGTGCAGTGATATTGCTTCACTGCCAGATCCAATACAACCATATTTTTTGACACCAAGACACTCAATTAGATGGGGTGAATTGCATCCGGAGAGAAGGGATTGGGAGACTTCAAGTGATATCACAAGCAGCTTCGAAGGCCGATGAGTAGAAAGTAGAAAAAAAATTCATTTTGTTGTTGATTATTATTTTGTAACGTAGGCTTATGAGATGCTGATGAATATTATGTTCTTCCAAAGTTATCAATCCAGTTGTTTGTTTGTTTATCTGTTATGCTTCGAAAAGATGAATAGGACATACAGGAACGGTAGTTTTATATTTATGCTGTCACTTGAATGGCAAATGGAAGGGATTAGTGAAGAAACAATTCAAAAGGTTTGGAATATGAAAATGCAGAAAGATACCTTGTTAGCAGTGCTAGAAATATGCGCATCCTTCGGATTAGTGAACAGGAGTAATATGAGAGGGGTATCTACAGGCATACCACGAAATTCTGTAAGTATTTACATATCTAGCACCTAAACATTTATATTTAGTTGTAGGCCACTTAAATCCTTAACATCACATCAAAAATATCACCTTTAATATCTTATAAAAATAAAATACACATTTTCATGTATAGGTTTATGAAAACAAGGTGTGATAAATGTAAATATCAAATTTTAGGTGTTAGATATGCAAATACATAAGAATTGTGTGGTATGCATGTATTTCCCCCTTGCCCAAAGATGACGTGATTAAAGTGCAAAGTAAATTTAGCATAATTACAATTATCTATACAAAAACAAGTAACAAAAATGGAAGCAAAAATTGAGTTCAGAAAATTAATCCTAAATATTTGGTATAAAAAATAATTAAATTTAATAACCTCACATCCTGGTCCAGGAATTGAAATCTGTTTACGGTGAACACATTAAAAATATATCTATTCGTGCTTGATTGCCTGGTCGAACTTTGAAATATGCACACAAAAGGACAAAAATTGGAATATAATAGATCATGTTTGTAAATGTTCTTCTTCTTGACAAAGTAAGATTGCAATACAAATATTTAATCTCTCTCTCTCTCTCTCTCTCTCTCTTTTTTTTTTT